CGCCCCGCTTTGCCCAATCTGGAAAATCTTGGCGGAGCGGGGTCGCGGCCGCGGGGTGGTCGGGCCCAAGTCTGTTTTCTGACTGGGCTCGGTCCCGGTTTGGTCAGGTCCCACGGATGGCTGGATCTGAGTCTGAAAATTGTTGTGGTTCTAGAGGGCGCAGAAGCTTTTCAGAAGAGCAGAAAGACGATGCCGTGGGGATTTCACCGAATGCTCGACCGGGTTGATTGCAGCCTCTCTTTGTGATGATGCCGGTTGATGGTTGTTAGGGCTTACGCGTGCACAGCCCCGGGCGCAGAATCCTGGAAACCTCTTTGACGCCAGTGTTTAATCCGAATGAGGGAAACACGCGGCCTTCCAGAGGTTACTGAGCCACCACATCCAACGTCGGTTGACTGTGGCTTCTTGAAATTAGGAGTTTAGTAGCGTCCGGAGGGATCAGGTGGCCTTGGAAGGACCAGAGTGTCTCTCCGTCCTTGTCCCATGCTGCTTGAGGAAATTTTGAAACAATCCTAGGAGCTCAGGTTGACAAGACAGTGTTCAGTCTTGCAACAGGCATTGCATTTCATTAGTCGTGCAAATTATACTGCGTTGTAATTGTTTTGGAAATCAGGTTGGTGAGATTTTATTAACTGGTGAAATAAAGTACATGAAGCAGCTTCAACGCTTAACGCAGAATGCCACTGTATGGTTTTTTAAAAAGTCAAGTTAGATTTCTACACCAGCTAAGTTTCAAGATTTCAAGACAGCATACATAGTATTCCCTCCTCTAATTTAATTCCCTCAACAGTTCTGAGAGGTAGGGTGAGATAATAACTGGCCAAGAGAGTTGGGCTGGGGATGAACATGAATCTGAGTCTTTTCCTGTCTTAGTCTAATTAATAATCATTAATTTTAAAGTTTTGAGCAAATTGAATAAAGCAAATAAGCTTAGAAAGCCTCTAGGTATTGTTTTGTTTATTTTAATCAGACACAAGTGTTCTTTTCATTAACAGTAACACTTCATATTCTGTTTTTATATGCAGAATGAAGAACTTGGACAAAGGAAAGTGTAATAGTTTCATATTTGAGAGATGTGAAAATGCCAGCAGGTGCAAACTTTAGTGTTTTGTTATATTTTGCACAATCTATAACAATTGTGATTGTTAAAAAAAATCCAAAACAAACTATTTACTTTAACTTTTCTTGCTTTAAAGAATATTATTTCTGAGGCAGGCCTTTCTCACTTCCTTACTAAAAACCTTCTAGATATTGGCAATTTTTTTTCTATTAAGGAGGTCGTTCAATGTGTAATTCTGATGCTGTTCTTATAAGATTGCTGTTCCATCATTTCACATATTTATATTATTACTGTAGTTCCTTACCATTTATTGTTTTATACTTCTATATTTTACTAATATTGTGAACTGCCTGAAATTTTATAGAGGTTAGGTAGGATGTAAGGGCTTTAAATAAATGGTGGCCCATAAGACATGTGTGATATTTATATATTCAGATGCTCTGAAGGCAACTAGTAGTGATGTGTTCCTTTTTGCAATGAGGTCTGGTATATCTCTTTATTTCTGCATCCAGAATGGGCATGGAATTGTTCATTCTAAGTTTCTTTCATACATTGTTTGGAAGTGTGATAGTCTATCTTATCTAATAAACTAAATTATCAAATTGTTTTTTAAACTTCCCAGTTGAGAGTGAAGCCAAGGCAAAAACTAAAGTTCATTTTGAAGAAATATTCAGGAATCATGCTGGCCTAATTGAGAAAAAGAAAATTAAAAAGAAACAGTTAAGCATCCCAGAGAATATTGTGGTGAGTTTGATGTACTATGAATGAATGTTTGTTGCTTCAAAAAAGTAAAGCGTAGTCTTTCAGAGCACACTTCCATAAATAGTATTAGGAATTTTGATTGTCCTTTACAGAGTCAATTTCTTTTTAAGGACATAGATTGGTGAAGCTCTTTAGTTTCACAAAAAAACCCAAAGTCACTTCAGTCTCTTTTGGAGTAAAAAAAGTTATAACCTTAAAATACGCTTTGAGATTAAAGACAGCTGTTTCTATAATTAGTACTATTAAAGTGGATATGTCATGATTCTGTTTTATCCTTTTCCCTACGTCACAAGTGGGCTGCATTTGAAAATTCTGGTTATGGTTAGGATCTGGGAAAAGCGCCTGGTAGACTGAAGTTTTGTTTCAGAGAAACATTTTCAGGCTAAATGGACACAAGATGCAAAATTTGTTAATATCCCTTCCTCTACAGTTATGATTTTTGTACCCTGAAAATACGCTCTGAAGGTTAAGGATCTCTACAGAACACATGGTGAGGTGTGGGGTGAGGGTGGCAGAAGGTGTAGCAAGAAAGACCGAGGGGAATGTGGCTCTTATTCCAGGCAAGTTATTGTCTGACCAGACCTGGAATGACCAGCTCTGTGTGGTCCAGAGGAGAAATTCAACATTCCCAAATTCTCCTAAAAGTCTGACCTCAGAGTGGTATGTTTTGCACATTTGTAATTTATTTCCTTAGCTGATTAGATATGTTCATGGTCAAAAATATCCTTTTAAAATGTGCAGTGTTAGGGCCTATAGGTACATAAGTTCAAAGAGAATTTGATTTCTTTTGCCCACAGAATAGGTTTAGGAATGCTTTCAAAACACATATTTTTCAGTGAATACTGACTTTGGTCCTCTTTCCTCCATAATCATCTCTCTGTCTCTCAAAAATGTGTATTTTTCTACATATTTCTTGCAAGCTTGGTTTGGTATTTTACTACTTTTACAGTGCACATTTATGTACCGAGTTGAGAAATCTTTGTGCATTTTTGTGCTGGACATTGTCCTGAAATCTGGTCTAATAAAGAGTTGAAAGTATTTTAAATATATAACGCAGGCAGTGAAAGTCCACAGGATTTTCCTGTAATTACTGCTAATAATGATGATTCTAAGTGACTTTCTTTTGTTCTGAAGTGTAATGCATGCAGAAAAGGTACAAAAACATTTTTATTTACTATCTAAATAAAGTGAGGCCTTAGAATAAGTATATTCCAAAGAGTGATTTCACAAAACCAGTCCCGTTGTTTCATGTACACAATGTAATACCAGTTTGTCACAGAGGAAGCTCAAATATCCAGAAATTGTGCTTGGTCCATAGATCTCAAACATGAATTTATAGATGTGTCAAAAGATATATGTATATTCTGATGTGATCACACTATGTACTATAGAGTGGCCTAAAGAAAAGAAAGGCAGTAGGATTTCTGTTTGTTGAAGAAAAAAATAAAGGAATTGGGAGTAAGGTTAAGAAATTAAGGTTATGGTTGATACAGAGAAGAAAACATCAGAAAGTGATTAAGAAAAGAATAGAAAACTAGTTTAGACAAAGCAGAACTTTTACAGAGTTCAAATAGAATATGTTCATATTTATAAATAAGTTTTAATTATTTCTAAAAGTTATGATCAGATCTTTTGAAACTGAATTTGGTTTTTCAGTCTTCTGACAAAATATATCTAATATAAAATAAGTGCATATAACTCTGTGTACAGTAATTTCAGATTATCAGATTGCAATGTGGATATATCCCTTTTAAAAAGTTTGAAAATCAAAGGTTTAAACTATCTTGATTATTATGAGCTTCTTTTGTTAAATATTATCTCAGAGTTACTAGGTCTGTGGTCAGTAAATTATACCCCTCCACCAAGTAATATTTATGTTAGGTATAAACTTAGCATGTTCTTTTAATTATATTTGAATATATGCTTTTCAGCATGGCATGCTGACAGAGCAATTTTGCAGCGCCTCTAAAAGACTTGAGGAGATTTTTCTTATAACGGTTACATTAAAAACTTGCTCAAACCTATAATCTTTCCACGTTTTATATGAATTCCATCAGTTGGTTGAAGTATAAGTAAGTCTTAATTGTTTCCCTTCAGATACTAAAAGTAAAATATTAATAAAATATCTTATTTATTAATTTTATAATAATTACATATTAGCATACAGATAGATGGCTTTCCAATGTTTTTGTTTTGATTACAGCTTGAGACATTAAAAAATCATCTGAGCAAAGGAAGTGAAAATGAGCCAATTATAAACAGCACATATAACCCTGAGGAAAGTAGTCCACGGATTCCAAAAAATGCATTCAGAGATAAAGCATCAGTTGAAGAAAAAAATGATGTTGTTAGTGGAGAGGAAAGCAAGCAAGTTATGCTTAAGAAGAAGAAAAAGACAGCCTTACAGAAACAACTTAATGAGGAAGAAAAGGTATCTGAAACTAAGTTAGACAGTTCTGAAAAACAGATTCAAGTTTTTACAAAGAAAAAAACAGAAAGTGTATTGCGGGCAGATGCGATTCATCAGAAAGGTGAAAGCAATATAAAAGGTGCCTTGAATGGACGCCGAGATAGATCTGAATTAGATGAGGAAGAAGAACAGTTAATTCAAGCCTATGAACAGCAAGTGGCTGAGGAAGAAGCAAATGCAATTAAGAAAAGAATAAAAAAGAAACTTAAAGAACAGATGTCTGAATTCATTCCCAACATTCAAAGCCATGAAATAGTATTGGACAATGAAGTGAGAAAAAAGAAGAAAAAGAAAAAAGTACTGGTTTCTTCTGAATCTCAAACAAGGTATAATAGCAAGTGATAAATCTGTATGGATGTAAGATTTGTGACAGCTATTTGGGTTGTGTTATTGTTGAAATTGGAAATTATTCCATATAGTTTTGTAAGGAGAATATAATGGTGCTGTCATATCTGAAAAAAGACATTCAGTGAACCAGTTTTATTTCCTTGCAAAACTGTACTCTGGTTTATAAAGAGGAAATGACAGAATAGGTAGCTGAAGTCAGATTTGATAAGAGATATCAGGAGTTTAGCTTAGGTCTTTTGCTCAGATTTCAGGCAAAGGGATGCAGTAGCGATGAACAATGAAATCATGCCTCCCTTGTCATGATGCCTAGATTTCTAGCCATGTCATCCCTTGGTTTGTGCATTACCAGGGGTCTGAACCCATCCTACCATAGGTCCAGCTTGATAGGATGAGGTTTTTAATAGACCTGGCCTTAACAGACTTTGTGTGGGAGAGGTGTATCAAGTTAAATCCATTCAACCCAATTTGAATGTGTATGTTGTTTGCTTGTATTGCAGAATGTAATTATTAAGCTATTAAGTCTGGGAGTATACTCCAAATCATAAATATCCTTGTTAACCATATGACTTCTTTCATTCAGTGCAATGTCACTCTCTGAATTACAACATGAGCCAGAGGAAGAAAATACCAGGAAAAAGAGATCTTTGGAAAGACCACTTATATCCAAATCTAAAGAAAATGACCTATTAATAGAGCAGAAAACTGAAGGCAAAAAAGCAAAAAGAAAATCCCCAAAAGGTTTGTGTGGCTAGAAATGGAATCCTTTAAATGTTTTCTATTAGAAGTAATTCTCAGTTAACAGCACTGTGGTGTGTGCATGTTGCCCAAATTATCCCATCCTTATGGCATAAAGATCTGAACAGTAATCTACTGATTTTGTGTTAGCAAGATTGAAATGATGGACCATGCTTGCATTTGAGAAGACCTGGCTATTTCTACAGGCCAGAATGTTATATGTGCCCACTGTTGAGTTGTCTTTGTAAATTGTGGTGCTGGTAGGGCATTTTATATTCCTATTTTAACAATACCAAACATAATAATGGATAAGGGAACTTTATTTAACTCTTTATTTTAGAAGAAGTTCTAAAGGGAGGCAGCTTCACGTATCATGGCATGGCTGTAATAAATTGACTTCCAAAAGTGATTTAGTCATTTGGAAAGTGTGCTAGTTATGCAAAACTCTCTTAAGAATAACAGACACATTTATCTTCTAGAACAGGGATAGGTAATCTTCTGCCCTGGAGTGGATGGGACTGAAATCTTTGGCTCATTTTGTAATGATGTATGTTTGGAGGTTTAAGAGGCTGCATGGTGCTTTAGATCCTGCAAAATATTGAGGAGCAACCTGTTTTGCTCTTTAAAAACCTTGAAAATCCAAAAGCATCAGACAGACTTTTCCTTGCTTGGAGAGGGTTTTAAGAGGTGAAATGTGTGTTTAAAGCCTTGAGAGACTTAAAGCACTCATTTTGCAATTTAAAATCTAAAAGTACCTAGTACTTCCCAGGCAGAAGTGCTTTCCATGTTAAAGTGTTCATGTTGTTGAATAATTCATGACAGCTGATATGCATGGAAATCAGGATCTGCTTCATAATAAATAAGTTGACTGAAAATTCATTGATGACAACATTTTAAATTATAGATTTACTTGTAGTAATTGCAGCAATTGCATAAATTGAACTTAACAGCAGTTCTCCCTTAATTTTTGCTAAAGCCTATTTTTCTCTCTCCTAGCTGTAGAAGAAAATACAGAAAACATTAAAGAAAATACTTTACATATGACTGATGGAAGTCTTTCACCAGAATCAAAACCGGGTTTTGATGATAACCTTGTTTTAGGGGTTTACATCCATCGAACTGATCGACTTAAAACTGATCTTATGGTATCCCATCCAATGGTTAAGGTTCATGTGATTGATGAGAAAACTGGTTTATATGTGAAGAAAGAGAATAGGTGATTTACTGATGTAGATTTCTTTCTTATTCTTGGTGTTAATTAATTTGTCCATGATCTTACAGAAACTCAGATGAAGTATTGGTGTTCCTAGATCTACATCTGATTTTTTTTTTTTGCATAGTTGAATTTATTTTCATTTCTATAAGCATGCCTTATAACTGAATTGTAATCTAGCATAAATCAGAAACATATATAATCACTCCTTAAATGAGGTTCATTTGATATGCTCAAACAAAAATTTGTCAAAGATAAATGTAGTTTATTTAATATTTCTTAATTATTACTGCACCATAATAATTCTCATTTGCTGAACAGAACTGAGGTTCCTATGCTTCAGCAGTTTCAGATGGAGCCAATATTTGGATTTTGGATTGCAAATTAAGATGAGAAGTTTAAGAATTTATCATTCTTCTGTAATTGCAAATTATAATTCTCATTGCTAGTTGAATTTAATGCAAAATTTTTCCAACTAATACTGTCTGTAAGGCTTGTTGGGTAGTCAGATATGCTAGATAACAACAGCTGTAATGGACTTTCATGTCAAATAAGAGAGCCTGTAAAATATGCAGAGATTTCTTTCCAGAGTAGTAATCTTGGGACCTTCAGAAAGATCAGATTAGAATTTTAATGATAAAGTCAAGAATGTATCAGGGCCAGTTTGGAATCAACATTATATCCAATCTGTAATATCTAGAAAGAGGAAAATAAAGAAGTTACTTATTCCCTAATCTCTAACATTTGCTACAATCTTATACATACTCTCCAGGGAACAGGCTCCATTGAACTTTAGACTATTTTAGCTTGCATGTAAAACCTGTCGCAGATGTTGTATGAAACGCTATTGTAATATGCCACATTGATCATATTTTAACTACCTGTAAACATTAGTTTTAAATGATAATGAATAAGTGCAGATATTCAGCTTCTTCTAAATGCTTTCCTCTAAGGTTATCCTTTTATGGTGTTCTGTTACATTTGATCTGAACCAAACTCACATTAATTCACTTTTCGTATTTCATTGGGGTTTGGACTTTGCTTAGAATACTCTGAATAAGGCTTAATATATTCTGATTTGCTCATAAGACTAACCCACAATGTTATTTGTTTGTTTTTGGTTTAGCACAGTATATGAACCAATCCAAAGGAAAAAAAACCCCATGGTTTCTAAATCAGAGTGATTGTGTTCACACATCTAGCTAACCGAAAGACAAACAAATCTCATTATTGCCTTGAAGCAGGTCATTTATACTAGTTGACAGTCTGATGTTGAACACTTTTTTTATTCAAGTAAAGCTACTTACAATGTAGATAATTAGAGTAAAAATAAGATATAGCAAGACTCAGTTGAATGTATTGTTTTTATATAGCAGTCGACAAGTTTCATCCTTCTATGAACAAGAGAAAGTGGGGCATATTCTTCCTATTATGACCCAGCCTTACGATTTCAGACAGTTTAAATCAACACTTCCAGAATGGGAAGAGCAAATCCTATTTAATGAACGTTTTAACTATTTTCTCCAAGATGCTGAAGGAAGCCCCAAAGTAATTCTGTTTTTTGAGGTACAGAATAACTCGATCATTTCCCTTTTATCTTCTGTTCCTTTTGGCAGAAATTTTCTGTATCTTTCCTCTTACCAGTAAAATACCTTATTTCAAAACTAGATTGTATTGGTGATGGTAGAAATAGACCAGATAATCTAATTGCTTAAGAACATTTTTAACTTTAAACATCCTTAAAGTTTTTGGACAGTTTTGTGAAATTTAAAGACGTACTTGGGCCCTTTCGCAACACTAGAGAGTGCAGTCTTTCACTTTCAGGTCTCCTAACAGTTATACAAGCTGTTTTACTGCTTTACTGAATACCTGGTTGCTTGGAAAGGAGGCAAGTTTTGGATCAAAGCAAAACTAAAGGAGTGTCATCTGGGACGTTTCTTTGATTCATAAAAAATAGCCTACATCTAGTTTGCATATATGCCCTTACAAGTATTTTCTTTTAGTGAAGCTCACATGTACTACCTTTTGTGGCATCCTGCTTTGTTCTGAGTGGGTTCTGCATATTTGAGATCTGAGATTCATCAAATACAGCAAGGCTTTAGATTTGTGCTCTGTACATGATCTCAGTTGTTTATTGTGTTTGCCACAAGAGTTTTTTGTCATAGGAAAGTAATATGTACAAAAGATTAAAAAATCCAGCAAAATTAGTTGTTTCTTTCTATGTCTGTAATTATAGAAATGTAAACTGAATAAAATGTATTTTCTACTTCCAGATCCTTGATTTTTTGAGCATGAATGATGCAAAGGCCAACTTTGATATTCAAGCTCAGGAAAGTGGCTTTCGGAAAATCTGTTGGGCATTTCTAAAGGTTTTTATTTCTTATTTTAATGGAAACATTGTACTGAAGCATTAAACAAGTCTGAGCAAAGATAAACACAGAATTTACTTTGTATATAGTCAGAAATAGTCTTTGTATATAGTCAGAAAATTAGTCAAGGTATATTTCAACCAGTTCACATTCAAATATCCACCCACCCCTATTATTGAAAAGTTGGATTGAGGGTCTTCACAATTATTTCTGTTTGAATTTCTGATGAGATACATAGTGCCTATTTATACTTGCTTCCCTGGATTTATTCTGGCACCATTTAATGAAACACAAAACCAGCTTATTTCTGAGTCAGTAATGATGCCAGCAATACAATTACACCGTCACCAGACTAATCGGAAAGTATTATCAACTATCTCTTGGCTATGTGACGTCTCTGTGAGCCCCAATTAATGTGATAGCAATATTTTTGCAATCATCTTATTCTCTTTATGTATGTATGTTATATAATAGATTTATACCTGAGTGTGTGGAGTTGTGTACGTAGCACTTCTCTTCCATTCCTTAAACCAGGCGTGTCTTTTTCTGAGATCATGCTGCAACTGTGGAGGGCAGCTGTGCCCCCACTCTGCTGTTGGTCAGAAAAGCTTTGAAAACCTGGCTCTTCACCCATGTCTTGGGTGAAGAAGAATGAGACCCCTTGCTTCATTCCATCTGGTCTATCAGACTTGCCATCTTTTATTGATTTTTATTATAATGTTCTTGTTGGATTGTTTTGAGCTGCCCAGTCACTGGGAGTTGGGCGTAGCTGCCTTTTCACAGCTGCCATCCTTAGTTGCTGAAGTAGAGAGTAAACTTTCATAGGATGATACTTTTTGCAAAATGTTTTTTCCTATCTCTTTTGACTCAGCTGTTCTATCTAAACCTACAGTCTGGAAATTATGGTATGAGCTTGACTCCTTGCATCCCTTCTGAATAAAAATTAAGAATTGTATGCTAGAAATTACTGTGGCATAGCCCGGCAGGATCCATTTATCAGGCTGTAGCAAAAGGATAGGAGACATTGACATTCCATTAGTTCTGGTGAAAAACAGTTAAGATCTGGTTTTATATCCCAGCTGGTTCAGAACCAACGAGTTAGTTCTTAAAAAAAGGTTTAACTGTAAGCATTGATGCCTGAATATTCTTTTTTCATTTTACTTGACCATCTTTAGCCCTTCTTCACTTTGTGGTATGTCTTTTAGACTGTTAAACCAAAGGCAAGAACTATTGTTATGTATGTAGGACTACAAAATGTTCTTGGACCTTTTCAGTAAATGTATTTATTTGGTTCAATAAATGACAGTGATCAAGGTTCAGAAGTAAATGGGCAAAAACTGTGTATACTCCCCTGTCTGACAGATGAGTAAGACAGTGGAAATGGTTTGTCTCATGTGAATTCACATAAACAAAGACATAACAGTAACTAATCAGATGACCTTTTTGTGTCTTACATTATGTAGATTGTCATTTCTGATAGGAAACCTGTGGTTCATTGTTACTTCAGTTGTTAAACTATTATTATTTTATTATTACTTCGATTTATTTTTATCTAGAAGCTCAAAAAAGCTTGGGGGGGGGTCTCCTTTTATCCTCAAAATAATCCTGTGATGTAGATTGGTTTGAAAGAGAGCAGCCTTAATATAACCTAATGAATTCCCATGGTTAGGATGGGTTGAACCTAGGTCTCCCCAGTCCTAGTCCAGTACCTTAGCTGCAACACCACACTTGCTCTCTATGGTTTTAGAGTCCTGTTATTTGTCCTTTCATCAATAAAATGCCTCAGCGTAATGTACGACTTTTTCCATCTTAATTATTTGGTCATTTTCAGCTTGTTGGTGCAAATGGAGTTCTGAACATTGGTGGAAAAGTACGTCTTCAGTTGTATTCTCCTCCTCCAAGGACCAGGTCACAACTTCATGCTGTGGAAGTTTATGACTGGTGGGCAAAGTGTCCTAGAAACAATTACCCTTCAACACTGTATGTGACTGTAAAAGGCATTAAACTTCCTGATCATGTATGTTAACTTAAGTGTCTTTAAAATACGTCTTGTGACCATGAGTCTAAAAATAAAAGCGTTCTTGGCCTTTTATCGCTAGCTGCAGAGAGAAAATTGTTTCCACATTCTGTTAAATACTGGAATATCTCACCTTTAATTATTCCCTTCCAGTAATTTCTGAAAATTTTAATGTAATTTTGTTTTATCCTGTAAATAAATAAATGACACTATCTATGAAAAAATTAATTCATTCTGGTGATTATTGAAGTAACTAGACTTTGGCAAAAATGCTGGACTATGTGGGAGGTTTTCCTCTGGTTTTTAAAGAAGACTGCTAAAGTTGAGAAATATTGATTAGATTTTGCTTTAGTAAAGTTGATTAACAGTAATTTTATTGCTACTATGTTTTTGATAAGCTGGATGTAGCTAGTGATATAGAAGATATAGGTATAGAGTATCAGCCTATTTACTTGATATCATAGTGTTCAAAAGGGTTATTTACTAGCATGATTAGGATTGCAGCCTTAGTGATTTGGCTCATCAGGGCTGTTTATACTAACACTTTTATTTCTGCTTAAAAAGCTGCCTCATGCTTCCATAGAAACAATGACTACTGTAGCACAATCCATCTTTAACACATGAGCATGTATGTTTTCATGATTGCTTGCTGGTTACAGAATTTAATATGCTTTCACCATGTTAGGTTAGCAATATAGGTGGGTTCAGTTAGCGGCTTCATGACATCAAGTGGGAGCTTTGGGTGTGAGTGAGCAGTTGCAAGTATCACTGATGGGAAATAAATAATATTCTGATGAAACCTAAAGCATTTGCAATTGAACACATTTGCGTGCTTGGTATGAGACTTTGAGGGAGGACAAATCAAATCATATACTGCGTGTGTTAACCAACCCTGGATGAACTTGCAGTTTGATCTACTTAAATGGAGTTAGTTTCAATATGAATATTCTAATGTGCACTCCCTTGCCACTTAATGATTGATTACATTGTCTTGATACTTTTCATGTGTCAAAAGAAATTGTTTTAATATTTTTTAATCTCTTTCTAGGTAGACCCTTCTTTGCGGTCTATGATGGCTATTCAGCAAGAATATCATAGCCCATCGTTCTTGGATCTACAAAACGATATAGCCAAAACAGTATTGAATTCTGGAACTCAAGTGAAAAAGGAAGAACCATTTAAGTGGTCAAAACTTCCTGGACAGGTAAAAACATTTTCAGAGTATTTTTTATATAATTTGATATTAGCCTTTTTAAAAAGTCAAACTAGAGTTATTTTAGGATTTAATCCTACTTTAGTGAACTTTGTAGAAGCAGGAAGGACTTGATGTTTATTTTCCAGCATTTACTTGAGAAATGTCTAGTGCTGTTTATGACTATGTGAATTGCAGATTTTTTTGCAGACAAAATACAACATCTGTATTATTATTAAAATATGAGTAGTAATGAAAGTTAAATTAATAAAATTAAGAAAATAGATTAATACTTAAAACACTAATAGTAGTTTGAGTAATCTGAATCTTTCTGTTTCTTTGGGCCTGCTGAGGTGAAATTTCATATCCAGAATTCTGCTTGGAAGTTGAGGGAAAAACTTTAAGCCCATGTACTTTTTTCCTCCTTATAGTATAGAGAAAAAAATGATGAAATGCTGTTGTAAAATGTACTTACTGCAACATTTATATTGAAGTGTTCTCACACTTAAAATGCATTCTTTCAAGGCCAAAGTTGATGTGCCTTTATAAATGGCTGACTTTTTTCCTGGAAAAAAATAATCTTTGGTTTCCCAAACTCTAATGTGCGCCAGATCTGGGAGCTATTTGCTGGAAGCAACATATATAGAGAAAGGAGTTATAAGTAAAAAGAAACGAGACTGGATCCCATTCAAAAACATATTCTAGGTTGAGATGACCCAATTGCCTTTTCTTTGTAATATAAATATCTTTTATAAAATATGCATAGCATGATGTATGATTTGATCCCTCACAAGTAATACGCATCAGAGCAGGGGGGAGTGGGAGAGAAGAATTGCTTTAGAGAATAAGAGCCAAGCTTGAGATGTGTTCCTGGTTTTGTGTATAGAATTTCACTGCCTGCAACTTTTCATTAACTTTCCCCCCCTTCCCCTTATATAACCCTAGTTTAGGCTAACAAAGCATGATGACATAGACTCTGTTCCTCAGAGGTTCCCCTAACCAATTTGTTATATGAAGCTATGAAAACTTTTTCCTACAGTTTCTGTGTGTGTGTGTGTATGTGTGTGTGTATCTTTCTCTGAAAAAAATATTGTATTTAAACACGTTTACAAATAACGGTTTGCTTTGGAACTACAGGTGTGTCGACTGCCAAACAAGTATCTCTTTTCCTTGAAAGCAGGCAATATGGGATGTTTCTGTATTTGTTTCTCTAAAGATGGACGAACATTAGCCGCAGGTTGTGCAGGAAGAGATGGTTATCCTGTTGTTTGTAAGTGAGAGTCTCAAGGCCTATTTTTATTTTAAACACCTTCTATGTATGCAGTGAATTGTTTGGAAGGATTTTTTTCTTCTTTTTATCCTTGAAATTTAATTGATTATTCAAATTTGAGGTATAACCAAATGGTAAAGGGTGCTTTTTAATCTTTCCTCCTAGCATGACAGATTTTTATTTTATTGGCATCCTCTCAGTGTAATTCAGGTGGTATCAGTAAATCCTTCCTCTTTCCCTTCCCCTATGTCCTAAAACTTTTCAGTATTCAACTACCACTATTTATAATTCAGATGTCACATAACCCTAATATTACAATCCATCAGAATTGGGCTTACGTAACTTTTGAATTATAAAACATCATAAGTATTTAGAACATCAAATTTAATGGATTTATGATTAACATAATGGCTTGAATTTGATGTAAGTCCTCATCCCTTCCAGAAACATGGTGCTAAAGACTCAACTGAAAGTATTCACTTCACTTTTCAACTTAGTGCATTCTTGCACTAAGCCATGGTTTGCTTGATTATAGGGTTTTTTGTCTATGTGTAAGTCACAGTTGGCTAGATTGATACATCATGGAAAATTTAAACAAAGGGTTACAAACAACAATGGCTGGACTTATACAACAATCTAAGCCAAAACTAAACAACCCATATTGTGAATTTGCATGTTGTGTGAATCCAGCCTGTTACTGATTGAAAGTAAAATTATTTAAACACAGGAAATAATATAAAAGAAAGTTTGGAGGTTATATAAGAAGGAAATGAATGGTGAACAGTAAGCAATATACAACTAGAGAACAACACCAAAAACAAAAAAAAAGTGAAATACTGTTTTTTCTTCATCTAGATTGGTTTATCCAAAGTACTGAGATCTGTACTTTAAATATTTGTTACTATACTTGCCAGCCACTAGATGGTAGTAGACAGATACTTGAGTGTTTAAGAGAGACATAAATTTAAGTGCCAGTAGAGCTGAATGATCACAGAAGCAGTGGATTTCCTTTAGGAAAATAGATTACTTTATTTTGATTATTATTACAAATACCAATTTTATAAAATTATTTCTTTTATTCATATATTTATAACAAAATTTATACTCCATCCTATCCAGAGACTCTGGATGGTTTGCATCTTTTAAAGCATAGTAATACAATCACAACCACAAACCTATGTCAGTTAAGGAAGCTCAATAACATTACATTAAGAATCATAATATCAAATTAAATTGCATAGAAATCAACAGCAAAGTAATATTTTAGCCCTAAAATGTATGATGACAAAGAACCATCTTGCCTGCATTCCTAAAAGAAAGAAATATGATAGCCATCCTGACCTCTGATTATTGGTTTAATATTGATAAAAAATAAAGTCTTCATCACCATACTATCTAACAACATTATGCTTTATGTGAAGTATCTTCTTCAAATAAGAATTTTGTTTACTTGCTTCTTGAGGATACATGTTAGCTTTATGCCATGTATTTCTAAATCCTTAAAAGATCCTATTGTGTGCTCATCAGTGTATGAGATTCCTTCAGGGTGCTACCTAAGGGAATTCTATGGACATCTGAACATTGTGTATGATCTTTGTTGGTCAAAGGATAATCAGCATCTTCTTACTGCTTCCTCAGATGGCACTGCAAGGTCAGTATAACCAAGTTCCTCCTGTTAAAATTGAGGTGTGGAATTTACCTGAAAGGAAGATTGGCCCAAATTTAAGATATACATGCACGCATCAGAAGAGTAGATGGGAAAAAAAATTAAAAACACACCAACAAAATACCCAGCTTATCAACTTGGGGTTGCCAAGTCCAGCGAAACCAACCTGGAGATTTCCTTCTCTCCAGTAAATAGTATATATTTCAAACCTGAGTATGACTATATGTATGCATCCCTTTATGTACATACATGCTCGACAGAAGGCACACTCCCAAAGAGGCAGGATGAGGACAGAGAGTTACATTAATATCAAGCAAATGGATAATCATGGTATGCAAGATCTTTCAAACTCTTTTCAAACAAAATTTAAAAAGTCCTGTTTTGAACAGAACTCAAAACACTCTTTTTCAAAAGAATGGATACAGGAATTTCAAAGCCACCCTTTGCTGCTGAACCCAGAACAATGTTACTTTAAAGTTACTGGATTCTTACTTTTGTTCTTTTTTTTTTCACATCTTATTTTTTCCCTCTCTCACAGTCATGTGTGCACACAAAACCACTCCTTATAGACTTTATTTTTTTCATATTCAGTCTCTTGCTTCATAACTTGTCCCTATTAATAAAGAGTATTACTTTTTACTGCTAAGTATTTGTTTTTTCACAGAAACAAGTTTTTTTTAAATAATGCAAATGATCTGTTGCATCAAGAGCATACTAAACAAGCTGATGTTGTTAAATGATTACTTTAGGTCAATAACATTACTAAGAATTGGGTGATTTTGATTTTATAGAATAATTAATTAAAAAATGGAAATTCATTATGGAAATCTGGCTAATGAGTAAACTTTTTTTGATTACCCAGAATTTGTTATCTAGTTCATATATGTGTAAGTATATTCAAGATTTAACAGATCATTTTCTAAAATAAATTAACATACAGTTTGGTATTGAAATGGTGTATTAAATTATCTAGAAAGAAAGAGACAAGCTTTGTAAATGTTGTTTTTGTGTAGAATGTGGAAAATTGAAGCCCAGGCTACATCAGCAACCAAAGTTTTCCCACATCCTTCATTTGTCTATGCTGCAAAATTTCACCCAGTAGCTGAGTACCTCATTGTAACTGGATGTTACGACTCTGTGATTAGAGTCTGGAATGCAAAAGTAAATGAAATTCATGGGCAGCTTTTACAAGAGTTTGATGGTCACAAAGGTTTTATCAATACGTTGTGTTTTGATGCTGAAGGTAAGTTGCAAATGTTTCACACTAAAAATGCTGCATATAACAATATCTCATGTCATCCTTGTAATTACTCTGAATTTTATTATACACTATTGCCATTCTTTTAAGGAGGCTGAGAGTTGGTAATAGATACAGGGATACCCAGGAACGTCTATTGAAAAAAAACCTGCAATAAAGGATTTTTTATATCAAAATCTAATGAAACATGAGCAAACACAGAGGAAAAGTTGTGGAATCCATCAGAATCCACATCACTAGGTGTCTATGCCATTTGCAAAAACCCACTGAATTTACACAGGCTAAATTATGTGGGGGGGGTGCAGGAAATATAATATCTCCAAATTCAGGTACCAGATAAGCAATGAGTGTGCATACTCTGCAGTACAAATGGGAGAAAAATGCATATTATGTACCGAAAACAAAAAAAAACAAAACAAAGGCAGAAAAAAATCATGAAGTTGAGCAACACAATTTGTGGAATGAGATGTTGGGGCAGTAGAATAGGGTATCTGAGTTAAAGCATTAGCTAAAGTGCAAAGCACAAGTTATGCATGAAATCTGATAAGAGGAAACCCACATATCTGGTAGTACTGTATGTGGGAAAAGATCTAAACCTTTTAGTTGATTATAAACTGAATGTGAACTGGTACTGTGATTTTGAGCAGATAAAATACTTCATGTCACCTTGAGCTTCATTGACAAAAGAATAATGTCTTCCCTACTATGGGCAATAATTCTATTCTAGGGTGTGGCTTTGTAACATCCAAATATAGTTCTGGGCCCAATAGTTTCAGAAACAAATTAACAAAATGGAAAAATATGTGATGAAGAAAGATACTTGACTAGATATACTTTGCATAAATCTTTATACGTTATATGCGTAATTTGAATGTCAGAACTCTTTTCACTTATTAAGCAAACAAATTATTATTTTCTAGGATTTCACATGTTTTCTGGAGATGGCACAGGGCTAATAATTATCTGGAATACTTTTGTTAAAGAAAATTCTCAGTCACTAATTCAACACTGGGGCATTGATAAGGTATACAGAAAAGAAATCAGGTTTTAAAACATTGTGTAGATAATGTATATTTGATTGTTATGCAATGTACATTTTAAAGTTTCAGAATTAGATTTCTTACTGTACGCAAAAATGATTTGTTTCTATTAGTACTAATTGATATATAACATTTAGTAAAAATTTTGTCTGAATAAGTTAACATTAATACTCTGATACACACAAATCTCCTAGAAGCTTTAACTGTACTTATTTGTATCTCATGTATATGTCCAATAATCTCTTTTTCTGCTTCATGCTTTCCTAATGTTATCAGTGTTCAATTGATAATTGAATTTGCACTTGAGCACTAATAAAAGAGAATAAAGCATTATTTGGGAATTACATATTTGCTTTCTTTTTTAAATATTTGAATTATTTCAGAATGTTACAGTAGAAACAGAAACAATCAGTTCTAGGTATCAGTAGATACTTGTTGCTTAATTTTCTACCCTGATGATGATGATAATTTAGTGCCTTTAATTCCTGGTACCTACATGGACATGTCATTTTCTTGGCAATGTTTTCAGAAGTGCTTTGCCATTGTCTTCTTCCTAGGGCTAAAAGAAAGTGACTGGCCCAAAGTTATCTGGTCAGCCTCTGTGTCTAAAACTGGATTAGAACTCAGGTTTTCCTGTTCATACCCCAATATCTTAGCTATTAGACCAAACTGGCTGTCTTATTATAACTGTTCCTACTTCCTGAAGAACGGTGTATCAGTGTAATAGTGATGGAACCTTAAATCCAGTTGTAATTACTGGTAGTTGAGTACTTGACTTCTTTTTTCATTCATTTTGCTAAAGTGTTTGAAATATTTATTATAGCGCATCCCACATTCCATCCAGCAATTCAAAGCAATTTACACAGATCTCCTTCCCTTTCCTCATTTCAGTGTCATTTATACAATAACCTTGTTGGTAACTTGAGTTGACTGGTCCCAAATTACCAGCAAGATTCATGTGTTTCTTTGCACAGATTATGAGTGTGGTATTCTCCACCACAAGATAGTAATGGCCATTTATTTACTTGGCTTTGAATGGGTATTACAAGGCAATGCTATCAGTCAGTAGTTGTACCAGGATTTATTTTTTTATATTTTTGCAATTTATGTACTACCTCATGAATTCTAGGCAGTTTACAGATACTAAAACAGGAATAAGAATGCATTTTTTAAACTTCAGTAGCAATAATTTAACAATTAATAAGAGATAATAAAAGATAAAGGTTATTAATGCCTAACTGCAATCACAGCTACATGGATCAGAGGTTGTTTAACTCTAAATGCCAATCTCAGAGAAACAGTAGCAGGAGAGAATTATTGCATTCATATCCTGTTTATGGGTGTCTCATAGGCTTCTGGTAAGATACTGGATTCCTTGGACCTTTGGTCTCACCTAACAAGACTGATGTTCTATTGTCTTCTTCTATTCCATATAGTATCTCTATTCTATAGAGTCTGTAGGTGACAGGCAGCATATACACTTAATAAATTATTATTATTAACCCTCAGCGAGGCACAACCTTGACGAGGTTGTGGGGCTTGCATGCTCCGAGGAGGGGGAGGATATTGTAAACATGCTTTCAGTAGCTCTGTGTTTTGTATTGGGGTTGTTTTGGCAGGAAATAAAAGATGGTGACATTAAAGGAACACCAGTCAATCATTTGGAGGTACATCCCAATGGAAGGCGTTTACTGATCCACGCCAAGGATAGTACTGTAAGAATTATGGATCTCCGAATGTAAGTATTTCAAAGTTATCTGTTTTATACCATTCAAATGATACTGAAGGACAGTTTGGGGGCAGTTCTGAAAATTAGCATCTCATTTCTTCTAGATATCCTAATGTGTCCTGGTCTTAAGGTTCTTAAAGGCATTTAGTGGCCAATTAAATAAGCCTTTATAAGTTAACCTCCTTCAGTGAATCTGAGAGTGTTGCTGGCAAGAATGTGAGCTGAAAGGGTTATCTCTTCCAGTGAAGCCAAAAGAGAAGGGGTGAGAGAGTGCTAAGGATAGTGAGAGGGCTCAGCAGCAGTGAGGAAAGCCAACTCACCTAGGAGAGGGACCATCAACTTGCAATCTGGAAGAGGGAATGGCCAATTAATTCTGCATTTTGAAGAAAGCTGCATAGAGATGGCTAAATGTTTGGACAAATTTAGGTGCCAAATAATAAGATGAGACAAGTTCATAGAGATTTGTAAATGGAGTTGAATTGTAAGAGGTTCTAAATACAACATTAAAGAGAGCTGTAGTACTAATAATGGGTGATTGGAATGCAAAAATTAGAGAAACAGGAACATGGAATCACAGGAAGATTTGGATTAGATAAGTACGATAATATGAGAGACAGTTTTCCAAAGAGAATTCTTTATTTGTTGCCAACATCTGCTTCAAGCAACATAAAGGCAGGATTTTCACATTTAAGCTTGAAATGAAATATGTCACTGCTGATTTTTTACTCTGAAATGTCAATAGTGGTATCAGGATTTGTGGCATATAAAGGCACAAGGCAAAGATGTCCACTCTCCTCTTTACTATTTGTAATTGCCCTGGAAGTCTTAGCCAGCAAGATCCGGAAAAAGTAACAGATAGTCGAGATCAAAATTCAAGGAGAAGAATACAAGATGAAATATTTTGCAAATATTGTAGTATTAAGAATCATGTAACCACAAAGCTCCATACAGCAGTTGATGAAAGTAATCAAAGATTTTGGTTGCTTTTCCAAGTACAAAATCAATGAAAACAAAGATAATAGTCACTTAACTTCTGAGGAAGAAAAATGTGTGGAAAAGAAGACTGGCTGTGAGATAACAAAAGATCCAGGATTTTTGGCATATGGAGCCATCTTTACAAAACAGTTCACATCTAAAGGAATTTATGAAAGTTATGTTAGGATTAATAATGCTTTATGGCCTGTAGGGAATAGCTTTTCTCACCCATTTAATATTTTACTAGTCTACTCAGATGTTCTTGGATCTTTTAACCAGGTCTGTATGTAGGATTTAAAAGACATGGTAGGGATACCTTTCCAGATCCAAATAGGCACATCTCTGTAGGCAACACAATTCAGATGATTTTGAAATTGGAGCACTGAAGCACTTAGTGTGATAACTTGTAATAATAGAGATTTATTTATTTTAAAATAACAGAAGAATAGACCTTGTGATTTCCACCATAAGTGTTAGGACTGCGATAGAGGGAGCAGAGTTGCTAGATATTCTGCCAATCAGGCCTTCAAATCTATTCTCCCCCCCACCCCCACTCTAATGTCCTCCTAGTGAAATGTATTACCAAAATTCTGCAGGGACTCATAATCAGTCACTCCATTATTCTGGTCCAGAAGGCTATAGTTCTCAGAAATAATTATTTTAGTAACAATTCACTGTGATTCCTGCCCATGAATCTGAATTTACTAATCTGAGACCTAATTTAACCAGAATACCATATCTAGGACATATTGAACCACTCCTGGTTTTGCTTTTTAAAACATCTTAAAATTTGCTTCTTAAAACTGTCAAACAGACCCTGGAGTCTGGAAGGGGAACAGAACAGTATAGGAAATATTTGAAATTACTTAATTTTCCATATCCCTAGCACTTATGGATCTAATTAGAAGACTGGATATACAGAATTAAAGTTGGGATTGCCCTAATATTGTTATATCAAAGATGGTCCTGAGCTATAGAAAATAATGGTATGTATCACTGGCTTCATCTAAGGGAAGATGAAAGAGAGGTACTTGTGTTTATATTCCTGAGGATGCCCTTCTTCCATTTTCTATACAAATGAAGTTCAACTTGCCATGAATATTCATTCTAGGTTATAACAGGGGCAGGAGTCTTTCCCCTTCTAAAACTATTTAGAGGATGTTACTGAGTTCTTTGACTCCTTCATCTGTCTAGGCCCTGTACCTTTCCATCTGTTCTAATGTTTACTTGAACCTGAGTTGGTCATAGTCGTTTTGAATCTAGAAGGCTCCTATTACTTTGGTTTTCTCTAGAAAGACTGCTTCAGTCTTATAATTGAGGGTAGGTCATTCCAGAAATCAGAAGTGACATAATTAAAGAGTAGCTATATTCATGTCCTTTTTTTCTCTTTACTCTTTAGCTTAGCTACAAAGAAATATATTGGTGCTACAAACTATCGAGAAAAAATTCGCAGCACCTTAACACCATGTGGAACATTTCTTTTTTCTGGAAGTGAAGATGGTATAGCGTACGTTTGGAATTTAGAAACAGGTACATTAATTCTTTATTTTGAAATGTTAGAAACATAAACTGTTTGTTTACAGTTAACATGTTTTTAAAGGACCTTCTAAGTAACTGTGGTCAAAACTTAAAAGTGTCAAAGCCTTTTTCTTGGGAGCTGTGTGTATGTTAAATCATGCTTCCCAATTGCTTTTAGTCCATATTTTAAATTGATATAGTTTCCTCTTTACACCAAAATAGTGGGATTGCCAGAATTAAGGTTACTACTACTGCTGCTGCTGCTGCTGCTGCTACTACTACTACTACTAATTTATTAAATTCATAAGCTACCTGACTCCCAGCAACTCTGGGTGGTTTGCCAGAAAAGGGCATCAGTCATCTGCGCCAAAGGCCTGAGCCAAGAGCCAGCAAAATACCAGCAGGGTAGGAGCCATTCCAATTTCAGGGGAGCCTCATTCCAGAGGTTTTATTGTTAGAATAACAGGTTGTCTTCATGCAGAATCAATTTGGCAACAAACATTTTATATATATGTTACAACATATAGTACTAATTACACTTACTGTGTTACAATATATGGCACTATATTACAAATGTGTAACGACAACATTCTGTTGTAGGTCATACTTGTGTTACACTGAAGATGTATAAGTGTCCTATGATACCTATAAATGTTTCTTTATGTGCAGCAGCCTTTGGAATGGTGAACATGAACTTTTGAAATGGAAGGATCTTGTTATATTTCAGTTAATGCTGTCTTCTTCATCTGGTGAAAAGTTTAGAGCTTAAAGTTCTTTCTTCTGTAGTGTTTTTCTTCCTTCTCTTTCTCTCGTTCTTGAGCTACTAAGGATTAAATCTGATTTCTCTTATACAACTATGGACCATCTTTATTAATAGCTGACATACAGGTCAACAAATAATATATTTTAATAAATGTAAATACTTCTATACAGTACAAATATAAAAGAAAATTGGACACTGTCAAATATTTTGCATGTTTTACAAAAATAAGAGGAATAGCTAAACAAGATCAGGATATTTATTTACAATTCTCACCTTGAAACCATTCTTTAACCTTCAGATTCATTTGACATGGGTTCCTCAAACTGGCTGTACTGAAAAAATGTAACCTTGGTAAATAAAGTACTATCTCTTTCACTTTTTTCTTTTACAGGTGATCAAGTAGCCATGTATTCTGATCTTTCTTTCACTTCCCCACTTCGTGATGTTGCTTTCCATCCACTTGAACATATGGTGGCATTTTGTGCCTTTGGTGAAAACCAGCCAATCCTTGTGTACATTTATGATTATAAAGGTAATTTACTATGTGTGTGGACCCCTATGTGTGTGGGTCTATCTGTGTGTGTGTCTGTATGTGTGCATGATTCAGCTATATTTCCAGCCATCAAAGATGTAGCATTGCCTTTTGACAAGTGGAATGAGTGGCAATCCTGAAACCACTCCAGGAGCTCTTTAAATTCATTCACCCCAAATCCAACATTAGGAGGAATGTTGGATAGACTTTCCTCAGCTAAATCATCATAGCCCCATTTTTTCTTCTTCCAAAACTAAGAAGTAGGATTTTCTGGTGTGTTGCTCAGTAGTGGAACTTTAAGCACCATTACCCAACTTCAGCTAAAGCCAACAAGCTCATACCTCCCTTTCCCACATTGAGACTGGAGAAGTGTAGTAGAGCTTCAGCTGCTGCCCAGTGTTGGACTTGGAGAATTGTTGTTGAGTTGATTAAAGTGTATGTTCCTAGAGGAGAGCAGTTACAACTTTGGGGACACTGCTGAAGTGGGTTGAGAATGACTTTGCCAAGCATTGGCTGAAGTAACAGTGGTCTCCCTGCCTTTCCAATAGAAAATGTAGACAGGAAGCTTCCTTTGCTTTTGCAGAAGATAGCTTTCCTCCATCAAGTCGGTACAGGAAAAGAGACTAGTGATAACAATTTTTGGCTTTGCCAGCAGGAGCACCAGAAATTAAAAATTTCTATATAAAAACATATATAATTGAAATATAGATATATCATGTAAATTATAGTTATCATTTAGAATTGTTTGGATTACTTTTAGAAATATAATTTTATAATTCACCCTTGCCCTTATTTTTAGAAATATAATTTTATAACTTGCCTTTGCCTTCTTCCATCTCTTTTCTTTTGTATCCACCCTTGGACATCTTAACTCAATTACAGCTGAGATTTTGGTAGTTTCAGATGCAAGAGATCAAGAAATCACTTGAAACTACTAGCCTCTGCCTGATCCCATAGACAACTAGTCTTATCTGTGTCCTTGACTAACTAGAACTTAACTAGTCATTCACAAGAGTCTCACCAAAGGAATTTATCTGCTTTACTTAAAAATTATTTGCAAGATTGGACCTTACAGTAACTACAAGCTGTATTTACATTGTTGGAGAATACTGAGTTGTCAAATTTAGGGGGGGAAAAGTAGAAAAATTCAAATTCAGTTCTGGTGAAATACTGGAGCATTTTAGCGATAGTTAATACTGGAGAACAGAAAAGTGGTTGTATTTTATCCATTGCATTTAGTTATAGAAGTAGATTGACATGAAAAATCAAGAATTATGTTAAGGTGATTGATAAGCATGAGTGAATATGTTAGCATGAATGTGGGATGTTCGTTCAGTTCTGTGCCTCAAGATCCCAGCTTTCTGGGGTTAGCAAATACAGATATTAGCATGAGGATGTGTTATGCCTTGTCACAGTAACAGGAGTCACATCACTGTTGCAGAAAGAAAGCTTTTCTACTTTTCCCCCCTTTAGTTCTGACTATGGCTGCATAGTTTGCAAATTGGAGTGGGAGGAGTTTCTTATTGTCACTGCTTTTCTAAAGCTTCTGTTGGCAATGAAGAAAAGGAGTGCTATTACAGAAGACTTTGTATAATGCATTTGTCAGTGACTATTGAGCATAATGTTAACATATTGTAAAGACTGATTAAGAGAACAAATGTTAAGCCCTTCAGAAGAGAATCAGAAGTACTCTCTATAACCAAACAACACAATGTTTCTTCATTTATTTATTTTAAATCTGTATGCCAGCCATCAGAATGTTTTTCTAGGGTAACTTAAACATTTTAAAAATAGAATCTTAAAAATATTGCCTGGAAAATAGAAGCTCAAGGCCCTAAAATTGCTTAACAAACATACATAATAAAGAAATAAACAGAACAAGCAATTAAAACATCTGCTGGGTACCAGAAAGAAGGTTCATTAAAAGATGTACAGTATGAACAAAATGAGAAAGCTGCACATAGCAATTACTTCAGCTGTCTCCTCCAACTCTTCTGTGAAAGAAAGCTCAGGAGATTGGTTTATACTGTTCTGCTTCTTAGGGAGAACAGAAGATGACATGGCAGGAGAGGTCTAATAGAGATGGCAATCACTGAACCATTTGCACAGAATCTTCTGTTCTTCTTCTGAAATGTTCATCAGTTTTTTATTCAGTAACTACCCAGATACTGTCTCAGTATGAATCTCTGTGGCATGTTAACAGTATTTTCTGAATCCCCCTTAATTTTGTAATTGTGCTTCTCAAAGCTGAATGACACAGTTGTTAATAAAGAGTCAGAGGTTGAGCCAAAAGATTTCATAATCAGGAATGTAAAATGAGAAAGTAAAAGCAACAATTTGAGATGCTGGGGCTAATGTAGCCAGATCAACAGGAATAATGGATGGACTCCAGCAATGCAGTGATTCCTTCAGATATATTTATACAGGTGAAACTCGAAAAATTAGAATATCGTACAAATGTTACAGACCTTGCTGAAGGATAAACTCATGTCTCTCTTTTTTCAGGAACCAAATATTCTTCCAAAAG